GCTGCAAGTGGTATGTGATGCTTGAGGCATGTTCTCCTGTAACCTGCTGCTGATTTCAAAGGCAAGACTGACAGCAGTTCCTTCAAGTGACTATTGGCAGCTCAGGCTGCCGGAAAAATGAGATAGATTGAATAAACTAATCTTCATTAGTAGCACTCAATAAGAGAAGCAAGGGCTTAGAGAGAAGGGACCAGGAGACAAGTGAAATGGAATTCAAGACTTTTATTTTATTAGCTGCATAGGGCTCCATTCTTTTCACAGTAAATGAGCTAATTATAAGTTGCATATATGCAGTGGGAGAATAGGTAAGAGTGAAAGAGCTGAGATTTCACTTTGGTGTTGATTTCATATAATCTAAATATAATGTTATAATGTTCTGACTAATTTAAATACTTGATTGCACTTAGCTTAGTAAAATAGTTAGGACTTTGCTGTATTGGATGTGGTCCAACTGGGACAGTCTTATTTGTCAGGCTCAAAAAAGTGCTGTGATGATTTAGCTGGAAGACAAGTACCAGCAACTAGTTTATGTCACTACATGAGTATTTTACTGTGGTTCAGTATTTACAGTTATGAGTAGCTTTGGTGATCTCTGCCATGGCCGTGTTTTGCTGCCGTTGCTGGCTTGAGGAGGCTGCTCGGTGATGCCAACTGAGCATTGCAGCCCCTGGTTTCAGGAGGGAGGGTGTCCTTGCATCTCTGTGCTTGTGTGTCCCTAGCTAGTGTAATGGCCCTATAGGCAATGACCAGCCAGCACAGAGACATCACCTGTGGTTTTCTTCTGTCCTGATACAAAGACAGACCCAAGATCAGGCTCACCCGAGTGGACCTGAAGCTATTTGTGCTTCTGATCGCTTTGCCCTGGTAGCCAGTGTCTGTGGGACAAGATCCAGTATGATACACATTGCAGTTCTTCCATGGGAAAAGCAACATACACCCCCATTAACCATTGAGTTGCTTAGGAGCAGGCAGTAATTCATCCTTATACTGAGGTATTCTGGGGATATTGCAACTTCTAGTCTTCCACAGACACTTTTCTGGGGGATAGGCATATTTGCATACTTCCTAATTCTCCGCTTGTTCCAAAAATAGATCTATATTTTGTATTACTGCACACTTAATTTGAACTTTTATTTTGCTTACATAGTAATGAAATCAGTTTACATAATAATTCTCTTGTTCCCTTGACAGTCCTTATTGCCTAGACATGCTGGGTTTTGTTACCTTACATGAACCATTAATTGGAATCTGATGTTCTTGGCAGGAGTACAGTCGCAAATGACAGTGTCATACATCTGTGCTTACTGTGAGGGGAGTGTCTCAATTTTAAAATGTGAGCAGAACCTCCAAATAAAATCAGTCTTAGAAAACAGTTTCCAATACAGTCTGTTGTTGCAATATACAGGAAAATAAACTGCTTCAAAAAGTAATTTTGCCAGAATGTCACTGCAAGTCTCTTTTTAGGTGCCTAGGTGTTAATATTTTCTGGATTATTCTCTATGCTTTTTTGAGGGAAATTACCAGCTGATCCTTTACAGTTGTACAGTGCTGAGTGCGACAGGGTCCTGCTCCATGGCCAAGCCTCCAGGATATAACAATAATAGAAACAGATATCCACACAGCTGCTGCATCAGTGTTCATATTTTTTACTCTTCATTTCATCTAACTACAAAACAACATCATGGATATTGTTGAAAACAAAGCGTTAGTTGTTTAGCTGCAAAATACAGGGAAGTTTCCTCCTCACAAAGAAGAAAGTCCAATAATGGGAGAAGATTCATACCAATGGATGACAGTATGAGGCTTTGCTCCCAACAAGGTTTGAATTGGGGCAAAACGGCAGTGTCCTTGTTTCAGACCTCTCAACTATTTAGGGTGTGGTGGTGTTTCAGTCATTAAAAAAAATCCTCAGTTTGTTCTAGTTTTCATAAACAACTGAAGCAGAATGAGAGCTGAGAACTGTCAGCTCCTGGACCTGATGGCCATGATGGTTACAGAGAAGGCCATCAGTGCCCAGAGATCAGATGTCATTTGGGATGCTGAAGCCATTGTTTGATGTACGTTTTAATCCAGTGCTGTTCTCAAAAGAAGGAGTTTTGTCATCTCTCCCGCTTGGTCACTTTCCCCCTTCCCCACTCTGCTCATTCCCTGTCCCAGCTCATGGTGTCCTTCAGCTTTGCAGCAAGCTGGACTGGGACTGTCCTCTGCTCAGGGTATGTATGGCCATGTGCACGCAATAGCCAGAACCTGTCTCTCCCGTCATCCATTTTATGCATCTCTTGGTGCACACCCTGCTAGCCCCCAGTGAACACCTTGCTAGCCTCCATTAAAAAGGAGCGTAGGGCTTCCTTGCCACAAGTCCACCCACTGGTGTCCTGCTTGCTGTCTTTGAAAAGCTGAGCAGTGTTACCCTTTCTCCGAAGGCCCATTAGAGATGCTTTCATGGAAGAGATGTAGCCATTGCCATTTACACAGTGGCTTCAGTGCTGCAAAATCCAAAGATTTGGAGATGAAACAAAGAGCCGACACAACCTAGAGTTGAGATAGGATGGGGAGGAATATTAAAAAGAGTTTGTGAATCCCTTCTAGAGAAGTTAAAATTTTACTTTTGGGGAAGCAGGAGTATTCGGATGCCTCAGGGGCCCGCCCTGCATTGCTGACAACCTATAGAGCCACTGCCACTGAACAAAATTCTAAATGTGAATCCCTGGGTCTTGCAATTGTGTTCTTAGTTTCTGAGGAAGTACTAAAAGTAGAATCAGACTGCAAGCAGTCCAGACAAAATGTCTACACATTGCTTTAATGGCTGTACAGAGGTATCTGAAGTGGGCATCGAGGCTTGATCATCACACCTGGTGGTAAACCTCATTTGTTTTAAGAAAAGGCAAAAAAATGCAGATGCTGTGCCAGGACTGCCTTCAGAGGATGTTTGCCATTGTTTTCCTCACTGCACATTCATCTTTCTAGCATCTGTCTTGGATTGACTGCCTCAGAAAAGGCATTTACAAGTAGAATTGAAGTGTACTTAAAAGCCAAATATGGGTTGTTTGTTGTAAAGCAGCCGATAGATAGTTGGCAAGACACCAAAAGGTCCAGACACTAATCTAATTGTTTACAGCTCATGGAGAGATTAATCCACAAGATTGGATGCCCTCATTTCCTTTACTCATTACAATGAATGTGTGAGATGCCAAACCCCATGGGGCAGCAGCAGAAAGAAAAATGTCTCCATTTCAGTACAGTTACTGTTTCAAGTTTAGAAATATATTGATTCTCTGGGTTTTGATAAGAATATAAATGCAAAGTACTATGCTTAATATCAGAATATTCTTGTTTCCTAGCCTCAGTGAAACAAAATCGTGCTTTCTTATTTTAGTGTAATATAATGCTCTGCAAAATTCAGATCAAACATATGAAATAAAATATATTGAATACACAGTGAAAATGGTCAGGATACACATCCTGGCTTGCAAGGGCAAGCAAATGCTCCACATGAAAAGCGGGCAAACCTACCCACGGATGTCCAGGCTGGTAAGCTTTGAAAATCCTGTCTGCTGCAAGATGCTGTGCATTGGAACAGAAGCTCTGCAAAGGGAAAAAAGCAAGCCTAGTATTGCTTGGGCAGCCGGTGAGAATAAAACAAACACTGCTGAGTGGCTGTTGCAAGTAGGATTTCTGTGAAATAGGCTTTTCTCTGAACTGAAAGTGGAGCTCAGGAGCAAACAGTACTGTGGGGCTATATACACTTTGAAGAGCGAATGGTTCAATGAGACAAAAACGTGGCTAATCTGCAGGGTATACTCCTGCCTCCCTCCACCTCCCTGCATTGGTCTGGCAGAAATGCCAGGAGGTGCTGCCTCTTCTGCTAGGCACTCAATGCTTTGTGCTGGAGAAAGGGGATGTTTCGTCCTCATGATACCAGTCACTCTGCTAGTGATCCTGAAAAGAGTCACCCCTTCTGCTGATGATGAAAATTACTGTGACTTTGGCCAGAAGCAAGATTTGGGAATGCTGCCTGGAGACCAAATAAGTAACACCTTGGTCTTGCAGACCGGTTAACCTCTAACTTACTGGCTGAAGTGGAAAAAGTGTTCATGAGCGAAGTGTGTGCATGTTTGCAAGCTAGTTGGCCTGTGAGCTGTTTACTGGTCATGATGATATTTTGTTGATGAAATTTTGCTACAGTTGCAAAGACTTTTCAAAAAGCTAATGGGATTGAGATATATTTATTCCAATGTTGCAATACCTGGCACATTTGGGGGAAGAAAATTAATATCCTGAACTAGTCTTTGCAGTGTTTCTAATTCCTTTACTAAGCATGTCCTCGTATATCATTTTACTTTACCAGCTTTTGGGAAGAAGAGAATGTTTTGCTAGTTAGGACTTGTTTTGGCTTAGTTTTTAATAATATAAGTCAGCACCATGTTGCCTGAAAGTCTGAATCTGACAAAAGTTTAGTTTTAAATGGGCTGCTTTTATGAGGTCATGTGTAGACTCATTGCTCCTGAATCAAGATCATAAATGTGTAATTTTAATAACATTTGGTGAGAATAAGCATTTGCATATCCTTGGAGAAATTGTTCTCTCCTGCATAGTTAAGCTATTTCAGCCATGACGTGGAGGGGGCATTTCAAGATTTGCACGTAGCTTAAAACATTGTACTTTGCAAGGGAAGAATAGTGCAGGTAATTCTTTTTTCTCTGTAATGCAGTACTTCTCCCAAGTAGAGAGAGTGACGGTACTAAGCATATCCAAAGCAGGGGTTTCTGTGGTGCAAAAACCAGCTTGGGTGTTGACTTGAAAGCTGGTCATCGCTGTATGTGGAAGCTAAATGAGGAACTGATAAGAGAGTGTTAACTGTACAGCATGGTTTCAGTCCTCTACTTCCCAATTATTTTTGTATTTTGAGTCTCTTATGGAGCAGTCAGCGTGGGAGGGTCTTGATAAGAGGTCACCATGGATTGCCTTTCTGTCTGTCGGAACCGGTGTTTCTTCCACAGGGAGTGGAACGCATTGACCTGCCAGGGCTCAGGAGCCTGCGCACTGCCCGCAGCCTGGAGCAGGGCATGGTGCTGACCATCGAGCCGGGCATCTACTTCATCGACCACCTCTTGGACCAAGCCCTCCATGATCCTGCACAGTCCTGTTTCATCAACAATGACGTCCTGCAGCGATTTAGAGGATTTGGTGGGGTGAGTAATTCTTAACGAGGTGGTTTTCTGAAATTGGTTTTCTGTTTGTTTGCCTTTCCTGTGTACTTGAGAGTAAGTCTTTTGGAAGTTGTGATGTATTGCACATCGGGCTGAAGCAGCGCGTTGGGCCATTTGACCCTGCAGACAAACTGGGTGGTTTTTTTGTTATTTTTAAATGCGGTTTTATACTTGTGATAGCTGATTAACGATAGACCCATATTTTTCCATTGATTGAAGTACCTTCTGTCAGCACTGTACTTGTGAGTTGCCAGGTAGGTGTCTTGTCTACATGTATGAAACATGTGTGTTATGAAAGACAAGACTGAGATCCATATTCCAAAGTTAGCCTCCTAGACAGCAGCACGGTCTGGTGCTCGCTCCGAGGGCAGAAAAGCCTGATGCTGTTTAAGTCAGGGAGGCAGTAGAGAAAAACAACAGTAATTGCTCTTAGTGGACTATTGCCAAAACGGCACAAAACTTATGAATGTAAAGCCTTCCATGTTTTCCAAGGGAATGGCCAATGGTCTTCAGGAGCACCCAAGCTTGAGGTATCGCATTGCAGGCAGCAGTGTGTGCGCAGGAAGGTTGGCTGACTCAGAAGGTAGCCGTGATCTGGGCGATCGTTCCCATGCAGGCAGCTGCTGCGCAAGTAGAGGGGCCTTGTTTCTCCATGCTCTCCAGGGCACATTTCCCATTCAAAGCCACCACCCTTTCAGAGCATTTAGCAGTTGCAGTGGCTTCCAGTGGGTTTTCATTTTAGCAGGGGGAGCATTTGAAGGGTGCCTCATTGTTCTCCGAGCTTCCGTATTCATGCACAGAGAAGATAGAGCAGGCAGCTGCAATGCCCCATCCTCCTCGTGGCTTTTCTGCTAAGTCTCAACAAAGCTAACAATCACTGGCAACGGCGGTGATTTTCTGGTATGAAAAGTCACTCATTAGGAATTGTCCGCTGCTGCCATCAACTAATTTATCACTGTACACCATCCATGAGAGGGTAATTACTGTAACGCTTTTGGTCTGAGCTGCCTTTGAACGACCAACCCTGACAGAAATGTTGTGTGTGCCATCACCAGTTGTATGAACCAGCCAGGCTCCTGGGCAGCTGCCTGTGGAGGCTCCTCATACGATGTGCGTGCAGCCTTATTGAGAGACGTGGGATTTTACCCGCACTGATATTTAATTCACTGCTGAGGTTTGGGATGTTACCTGTGTCTGTGTTGTTTCAATATCAAGACTTGCCAGCCAGCCAACTGAGATACTAGTGAAAAAAAGGCAGCTAACTGCATTTTCTGTGAGCACATTATATATGGCACCACATGCTGAAGCATATTTTGAAGAAATGCTGTGTAGCACAAGTAATGCACTTGTGTAGCTTGACACCACAACACAAACAGGTTTAACTGTCTTTGCTTTCCTTGTAAACATTCTGTGGGAGTTTTTCAGCAGTTGAATTGATTCCTGGTGAGCTTTCGCTGGAAATGCTCAGCAAAGTCTACATTTTCTATGACTTGCTGTGAATGCCTGCTCTTGCTCTGCAGCTTGAGGCATGCATGTGGCTCACCTGCTGCCTGTGTTTGCATGGAATAGGAGTGACAGCACAGGATCTCTACCTTGGTAATAAGTTGCTGGATCAGGCACTTTTGTTCCAGAGATTTCAATCAAAGTCTAACTTTCTCCCCTGTTTTTTGCTTAGCTTCCTGTAATGATGACTTGTAAGAAGAGCTAGCCAACAAACTTTGCTAAAAGGGGGAGCTGCCCAAAAACGATTGAGCAAAAATCTGAATCTCCAATCCCCCTGTGAACAATACATTTTACTTAGAGAGTAAAAATAATAATACACACATACCCTGAGCCAGATGTTGTCACTTGAATTTGTCCAGGAGAAGAATGGAAATAAAATCTGAGACTGAAGTACATCTGAATATTTCTGAATTCTACACAAAAGCTGAATTATAATGCAATCAAAATTAATTTTTCCATCTTTACAATTCTGACTTGATTCTGCATAAATAGAAGGTGCATATTATGCTGTGTAGTGTGCTTAGTTACCTACATGCTTGTTCATTCTAGTTTACCCAGAATGAGTGAGTATTTCTCTCAAAAGTATGTCAGAAAACTTTCTCTGTACATTATTAGAAAAGATCCTGTGAAGCCCAGTGTTTTTACTGACATATATTAACAGTACAGGGGTTAGTATTGGTGTCAGTTCTAGCTGAAGAGCTCACTACAGTGTCTACATTCAGCCTGTACCCAGGGCTAAACTCTTAACAGTCGCTCTATCACCCAACAACCAGCCAGGGAGGGGAATCAGGAAAAGGAGAGCAGACCTATGGGTTGAAGTGAAAACAGATTTAATGAAACAGCACTAATACTAACAAAGGTATACAGAGTTATACTCAGCCAAATGAGTATGGCAGCCATCACAATCAACAGGAGAGCAGTCCTCAGAAGCAGAGAGAAGCCAGAGGAGGAGCCAGAGGAACCCTGCAGGAGTCCCCCTTCCTCAGCTTCCACAGCAAACCTTCCCCCTTCTGTCCCAGCCAAACCAGGCCATACAGCCAGTCCAATCCTCCTTTAAGTTTAAAAGAAAAATACATTCTACAAAAGGAAATAAGTAGTTCATTTCCCTCTGCAGAACTCAACACTAATTAAAATGTTCTTAATTTGGTTTAGTTTAATTCACTTCAAAAATGAACTTATATTTAACCAAAGTAACACCGCTGTAATTCTGAGTAAGACTGTCTGCACAGGGGATTTGTGGATTTTAATGAAATCACCTTGAATTCATGTCTTTTTTGGGCTTTGGATAATTTTCTTGCCTGTGACAAGTCTCTGCATTGAGAAGAGAAGCTCTTTTGCCAATGCCCAAGAGGGCAAGACTGTAGCCATTTATTGTAATTCATGCTGCCTGGTATTAGCCATGAAGAAATTGTAAAAGCTGGAAGAGCAGGAAAGAATGTGAGAAACGGGAGGTTTTCCTTCACCGGTTCTGCATTGTTGCCAGCATGTGGGGCCTGTACTGGTGGCACCAGCGCAGGTCCTGTGCACACTCAGAACAGGTCCATCGGCAGCCCAGCCTTCCTACATCCCTATAACACAGACACCCAGGCCTCGTGGCTGTAACTGCTCCTCAGGGACCTCATAATTTAGGCTTTTACCAAACAAGAGCTGGTCTGGGTCAAACACAGATCCCTCTAGAGGAAGGCGAGAAGTTTTGCCAGGGCATCTGCTTCTGAGAGCACAGGCTGCCCTGTCCGAAGCCCTGAACTCTTCACTTGACAGCCGTTGAGTTCAGTCCTTCACAAGTTTCCTTGGCCAATTTTGGGAAGTCACTCAGTCACATGTACTTCAGTTCTCCATCTGCAAAACTAAGGTCCAATTTTCTGAGGTCATAAATTCTGTGGGGCAAGGGCTGCCGTTGGGCACTGGCACAGTGCCTGTCCCAGGGCACCTCTGCTCTGCCTGGACTCTGCCTGCACTGTTCTCATAAATAAACATAGAGGTATGTGTATACAGTTGTATATATTGCTTAGGAAAAGCAGCCGATTCCTCAGGGAAGGGGAAATACCGACTCCAAATGCTGTCCTTTAGGGTTTGCCATTTCCATTCTTCATAAACTGATTACTGATTCATGCAGTTCGTACGATGTTTTCTTGAAGACCTAGTAAAACCATTCGATCTTTTTTTTGGCCTAAATATTCAGTCTCTGTTTGGGCTTTATTTTTGCCTAGGATTTGTAGAACTAGCACTAGACTTAATATGAAAACTCCATGCAACTTAGAGAAAATGCTGAAAGACAGCTCAATGTTAAATACATTACTTTCTTTCATTTTCAGATTTTTCTCATTTAAAAGTTAAATAGATTTACAAAACCCAGGACCTTGAAGATTCGCTAATATTACAATGTTTTTCAAAACACTAGTACTTCTCTTACTCAGTAACAAATGTTAAACCAAATAAAAAGCAGGCTATTTAATTGCTTCTACCTTTGGTTCAGAGAGTCATGCAGTTGTGTCTGTCCTGAGTTTTATTTTTCAGAAGGTTGAGCTCTGTTTCTGGGTTTATGGTGAATGTGTATTGTGGAATGAAATAGTTTACTAGGCAATAAACATTATGCTCATCTGCTTTTTAACATTTCGTATTATGTAACAGTAATAGTGCTACATAGCATTTTTTGGAAAAGTTTTCATAGAAAGGCAGTGGTCATAGTGAAATATATAGCTTTCTTTAAAGTTCTTGTGAGAGAAGTGATAGTTGTAGGCAACTCAAAACCAGCAGCTTATAAACCATCTTTAACCCTTTTCTCTTCAGTTGTCTAGTTAACGTAATTAGGTTAAAGTAAGAGCAGTTGTTTCTAACCTGTATTTAGCTTATAGTTTATTGCTTCTTTTTGAGCCTGGATGAAGGGACTGTGTGCCTGAAGCTTTTTTTTCCCAGTTATATCAGTTGATCTAATGAAATACATGGCCTCACCCTTCTAATCTTGATCCTCTTTTATAAAATGTTTATATGTGGACCTTTAAAATAAAGTGTGCCTGACATGAGGACTTTGCTTGTGGATAAGAAGAGGGAAGACTGGCAGCATGGGATGACAAAGAGTCATTGTGTGGCATAGAGCCTATTAGCCTCCATAGAAAACATCTTGGTGTTCCTACTTTGTGTAACATGGTAACAGGAAAGTGCCTTCCCTGACCCTGCAATGTACCCGCCTGTCCCTGGGTTTGACGTTCGGGCAGCTCTACTTCCTATCCAGTCCTCCTGAAATACAGAAGTCAAACCCTGATCGTGGTAAGCGTGCTTCATTAAAAATTATTGGTGAGTCAATGGCTGAGTTTAAGTAAGTCGCCTTGGCTACATGCATCTGCCTCTGTAGGATGGCAGTGATAAAAACAGACATGTGGATCCTTCAGACAGACAGAAGCACGTGTGCTAAGTTACTTTGTGGGGTAGCATGTGTGGCCCATGTCCTGTCATCGTTTCCCAGGCAAGTCTCCCACTCTGACATCTTGCAGCGATAGTATTGCTGCTTTCAACAGCCATAATCAAACAAATGCTCAACAGATTGAAAAAAAAAAAAAAAGGAGACATGTCACCAGTGGTCTTTTTTAATCACATCTGGGATCTGTCATCGTGCAAATCCGGACTATTTAATTGGCCAAAATTGTTTCTTGATTCTCAAAAGGCTTTTATATATATCATCATCCAAAAGAAATGAATGAGTGCTACAACCCCCTTCCCTTGGAAGATAACACAGGAGGCTCTGGGGAGCATGACTGTATTAGTAAGTCAGGACAAAGTGCGAGGCTGTATATATAGCTGACAGCAGCCCTGGTATTTAACTTCTATGCTGTCCTCGGCTATACCCGCACAACCCTGCTTTGGGACAGAGTTGGGTCCATTGAGTCAAGCCACGTGATGGTCTGTTGCTGGCATTAGGCAATTGTGCAATCAGGTCTATCTAGACAGATCATGCCACTGCCCTTGATATGAAAAAGGCATTTTAGGGTAGTCCTGGTATTCCTGGCCACTTCACCTTTGCAGGAGTGCTTTTTGAAGTATACCGTTTCACGAAAAAGCAGCGCCTCCCCTGGGGTGTTTGCAGAATGCCCTGAAAACTGCTAGTGCAGTGAACCTCACACCTCGGTTTGCTGTTCCTTTAAGCCGTGTCTGATTCCAAACCACTCTGTAGCCCTGAAACAAGCAGCACTGCTGAACAAAGAGCCTGCAAACAGGGACAGCTCGGAGAGCTAGTTTCATAACCACTGTCCCCCACTGGGAAAGGCAGTCCCAAGCCAGTGAGCCTTGCCAGGCAGATCCAGCATCTTTTATCCATTTGGACAGAAGACAAGACCAAATGCCGGGCTCTCCTGTAGGGAAGGTTTTGCAGGTCCTCTGAAGCTGCTTCTTGCAGCTGCTGAGATTAAGCTCAGGGTGAAGCATGGAGGATGTGAAGGAAAAGACCAAATGCAAAAATTTCCTCCCCCCTTGAGAACCTGTGTTCCTCTGCAATTGTGTTGCTTTTAGGCAAATGAAAAATGTGCACTGAGAGTGAGAAGTCTGTCTTCTCTGTTATGGCAGGCACACATTTTGGGTGAGATCAATCCAGGCAGACAAATGGTTAGATCCTGGAGAAAGAGCTGGAGCTTTCCTAGGAGTGATGGGTGAGGCCCCATGACAGCAGTGGTTCTGTGTGCACCTCCAGCTACATCTCAAAGAGCGTTTGGAGTTGGTGATGGTGAGCAGGCTTGTGCAACGGTCCTGGCTCTCCCACTTCTCACAGCAATCCACAGCTGTGAATTGGTGATATGATCACCTAACAATGTTTCTCCTAAATGATGAGTTGCTGTGTATGGCACTCCAAACTGATGGGTTTCCCCATCCTCCCCTGTTTGGTGACTCTCAGTTCCCCAGCTTAGGCAGCTCTAGCACCCCCCTGCACTCTCCTCATTCTCACCTCCACCAGGATTTCCCTTCCTGCACTCCTTAGCCAGCCCCATCTCTCTTTGTCCATTATTTGTCAATCCTGTCTCGCTTCACTGTATCTTCCTTCCCCCAGCTCCTTTCATCACTCTAGCTCCATTTTCCAGCTCCTTCCCCATCCTGATTTTCTCTTGTGGCCTAGATTGGGCACAGCATTAACAGACACCTTGTCCCACTTGTTCATCCCCCTCCCTCTTAGTCTGGCTTTCCTTTGCTCTGCTTTCAAGTCAGTCCATCCTCTCAAAGAGTGCCGAGGTGTTGATGAAGGCTTGAAATACTGAACTGGCAAACACTATTTTTTTTTTTTTTTTTTTTTGCTAATTGTACTGGTTAAGCAGATGAATTGTGGCTGATATTTCTCTGTAGCAGATGCATTGAGGAATTTCACCTCAAGCAGGTGAAGGTTTGTGAAGCTAGTGGTGCTCCAAAAGAAGCTCTCTCTATAAGCAGAGTCAGCTCTAGCTTTGGCTGGCCTCCCCTCTGCTCTAGGACTTAATTTTGCGCTAACAGTTTCACTTCCCACATCAACACTGTGCCCAGCTCCATTTACATTGGTGGGCTTGACAATGTGATGCTTTGGCTTTTACCATGTCATCAGATCTGTCCCCTAGGTTCTGGCATTTTTGCAGGGCTCACCTGGTACCAGCAGGTTTTTGGCAAGGGCTGGTCCACCCAGGCAGGCTGTGCCCAGGCCCGAGACCCAGCAGGACAGATGCGGGGAGCTGCTGCAAGGCAGAAGGCACAGTTCACCTTTAGATGCAATGTGACCGTCTTGCTGAATCCTTGGGTTATTTTTTGCTTAGCTGGCCAAATTTGAAGCAATGAATCAAAAAACCCACCCTGCTAAAATCTGTTCAAGTGCATAGAGTCATTCAATGTGTTGCTGCTCTTCTGCAGCAAGGCACTGGCCTTTCAGGCACACTGAGCATAAAGAGCCTCGCAGCTTTCAAATTTACAGCTGTCCAAATCAAATGTGTGAACTCAATGGAGTTCATTTATTTAATTCTGCTTTATAATAAACTTAACTTGATACCAAATAAAAGAAATAATCTGGCAAAGACATCATTAAACAGTTCAATAAGGACTGGATGACTCATTTTGTTTGAACAAATGGATTATTTTGCAATCAGAAGTACAAATGTTAACCAGCTTTATTTTTAGTTGAAAATGTCAAGAGGTCAGAAACAATTAAAGCAACTGTAAGGTGGGAGTCCCCAGAGTTTGTGTTCTCTTGGATTTACACCTTACTAAAATTGCTTTTATTGCAGCTTAGCGACTTACTAACATTTTTCTGATAAGATAACGGAAAATGACTGTGTAGGCATATTTACTGGTAAGAAGAGATTAGAGTCAAACAGAAATGGAGCATACTTTTCATTTTAACAGAACAAGAGCTGGAAAACTGAGGGGATCTGCTTTTTCCTTGCATGATTTGAAATGTAGTGATTGTATTTTAAAAGGAATGTCTGGCCCACTTAGGACTCATCAGCTCAAAAGTCAATGTTTTGAATATCAGCTACAAGATTTTCATGTTGCAGTTCCTCCTTTGAAAGTTTATGGTGTTTAGAGAAAAGAGAATGTGATGTTTAAGTGCAAAGAGCAGCTAACTGCAGCTCAGCAACAAGACCACTTCAAGAACAGGCACTTCGGGCATCAGGAGGCACTGCTGTTGAACCTGTCCCTAGCAAGGTTGGAGGCAAATTCAGGGGAGAATGTTCCTTTTGCTGTTCGTGATGTCAGGGGGTTGAGATTTATTTGCCCCATGTAATTACACAGCATGAGCTCGCTGATGCAGCGTCTCGCTCGGCCTGTCCCTGACGTACCCGATGTAGCAGAGGCACCACCTGAATCACCTGCAGGGCCGCCACCTCCTGAGGGGCTGCTCTGCCAGGGGTCACCATGGAGCTTGTGTGATCCCAGGAGGGTGGCAGGGGCTGGTGGCCCAAGGGGATTGGACCCTGCAGAGCTCTGCACCACGGTGCTGGTGGTGATGGGCAATTCCAGTGCTTGCAGCATGTTGCTCTGCCTGGTGTTGCATCAACACCACAGACTGAAACACACCTTGTGCTCTTGCCGCTGTCGCTGCCTGATGTGCTTCTCATCCCCGGCTGGAATACCTTGGTAACCGCGTGTTCTCTGTAACAGGTCCGGATCGAGGATGACATCGCAGTGACAGCCAGTGGAATGGAGCTGCTAACGTGCGTCCCACGTACTGTTGAAGAAATAGAGGCTTTCATGGCAGAAGGCCAAAGCAGTGCCAAGACATTTGACTGCCTCTCCAGCCAAAAGCAGTAAACTTCAGGATGATACTTACTGTCTCACACTAATCAATCATCATTCTGATTTAATGCTGCAGCATATAAAATAAAATGCATCCAATTCTTAATAGCAAGAGAAGCAGGCAGGCTATTAGCCAGAATGATTCATTCATTAAAAATGGAAGTAGGCAGCTTCAGTACTTGATATCCAGCTAACTCAAATGCTGCTGTTTGCAATCAGCAGTTTACATTACCAAGTGCCACCTGAATAACCCTGCTGCATTATCAGTGGGGCTTATACTTCTGTCAAATCTCAGCTCAGAGTTATCTTGCAATTAAATCTCAATTTTGATGAATGAGACTCTTTAAAATACCAAATAGATATCTGAATGCTGTCAGCAATTGTAACAGTCTAAGTCCTTTTTTAAACTTCATCACGAGTACTGTGAAAAACATAGAAGAAAAATCAGCTGTTCTCAGTAGACATAATGGCATTTATATTTTTCTTACGGATCTTATTTCAGTGTCAATGGAGTAAGCAGAATTGAATCTTTATTAAAATTCATCCTTGGCATCATTTATTCTCACAGCTTTGTGATCATTACGCTGTTCTGCTCCTATTGCTGCTTATTTATCTGACCTTTCTACCAATTTGAGCTCTGGAAACTTTGACCCTTCATTAGCCGGATTTTTCTGCTCTGGGTAGTGGGTGTGCTGATCCTTCACACACAGCCCAACGCTTACTAGATTTGTTCATCTGTTCCTTAAAAACGTAAGTTGCTGTGGTGTTCACAAGCCTTAGAAATTGGGAGAAGGGAGTACCTTTGCTGCAGGGCTCAGGGTCATTCAGCAGCATATGCTGTGCAGAATGATAAAGTTATTTTTAACTGTCCAATGTTAGCTGGTTCAGAATGAAATCATGTAAATTTTATTTGGATACACCACAAACATACTAATAATGATCATAAATTTTTTTTCGATTCATGCAAGATTTAAGACACCCAGAGAAGCCTTTCTTTACTGTAGGTGCAGGAGAATAAATACATTTCTTGCATCATAAAATAGCCCTAGTTGCTGTAACTACATAAAAATAATCCTGCTCAATTTATGAACACATCAAAACTCCTGTTCGGTCTTCAGGCTCTGTTGCACAGTTTGACTGCAGAGCCACTTCAGAACATCCCTCTGCCGTGTCAGGGGCAACTGAAGTCAGGGCAGGATGTCAGGGCCTTTCTGGGTCTCACCGCTTGCCAGATAAGGATTTTCAGCTGACTTGATCATCTCAGCATCTCGGTTCTCTTGCTCATATTCTAGAGCTGGCACACAGTTCAATGGGACCAACTGTGAGTTTCTGGGTGCCTGCAAGCACCTGTCTTATGTGGGGCATACAACACAACATGGGCTTGGATGGTGTCAAAAACTACTATGTTGCTGTCTTTGTGCCCCCCACCTGGGACTGGACTTAGGTCTGAAATAATTTCCTTAAAAATTGTCAAATGTGTTGCTCTGCAGAGAGCTCATTGCTAATTGGGTTGATCTGTGTGACAAGAACCTGCTCTTTATTTGTAACAGCTTGGTGACCCATTGCTAAATAGGAAACTGCGTGTTGGAGACTGAAGAAACACGTTATGAAGTAATCCAGGGGACTTGACTCCTTATGTTTAATGTCACTTTATTAACAAATGAGCCTATTTACATCTTTTTAAAGATTGCTCAGCGTTGGTTTGTAAGAGGTAAGTGCAGGAGGTCTTGACTGTGAAGGGGAAGGGGCGAGGAGGGGAGGGTGTGAGATCAGCAGCTTGTATGTGCAGCTGCGCTAATGCTTCCTTCTGTGGTGACTGCAAGTCTTGTACCTCTGAAATGTAGCCCTTGTGCAGAGGACATCAGGCTTTGCTGTGGTAGCTTTGCAGATACGAGAACACAGAAACTACACTGGCACTGCTCCAGACTCATCTATCCCTAAAACTTGGGAGGTTTTTTCAGTGCAAGACGGTGCTTGTGGCCTCAGCCTTGTTCCCTCCATATCCAAGTGCTTTCCTGTGGCATTCTCTGAACACACCCATGGGATCGCTCACTGCTTTGGGCACTCTGAAACCTGCTGTTGCTTGGGTTCAATAGCAGTTACTATTTTAAAGTAACACTTCACAGATTTTCAAAAAAAGATATTTTGGAATTGTTTCAACTAAGCCATAACCCCAGTGTAGTTAATAGGCCGTTCCCTGCCTCTGATTAATCTTGGCAAATACGGGGCTCCGCTGCTGCAGAACAGGTAGAGCAATCTGGCATGCTGCAGGAGGCAGAACTGGTTCTGCTTCAACATGTACCAGCGAACAAACCCCACCGCAAGTTCTCGGGGGAAATCACTCGCTCACATAACCGGCTTCTCTGTTGTTCTGCATGCCCAAGACGTGGATGCGTTTCAGTCTGGGATGGTGCATCGTCTCCCATTTTCTTTCATAATGAGGCCCATGAAGTTTGTGAATATAAATTTCATCCTTCCTTCCAGAAGTCTGTTCTGTAATGATGACAATTTTTATCCACTTAAGCAAAAAGTGAGTTAGAACTTTTTTCTAAATTAGCATGAGGGGGCAGGAAATTAAACCTTTAAAAAAAAGGCAAAGTGATATTTAATACATGTAAAATTTATTAGTGGGGGGGAAATACACGTTACAGCAGACTTTTTTTACTACATTAGGCTATTTTAGGCTGTTAGCTATCATGTTTTCCCAAATGCCCTTTCCCCTTGGTGCGAACAGACTTTGTTCAAGTGAATAGAGTGGCACCAAAATAACAGGAAGAGTGTATTATGTTGAGCAAGTTTGTGTGTTTAGAAAGGTCCAAGCACTTCTGAACTGATACATTTAAATTGCTTCAGCTCCCTGGGGTTGGATGCATTCTGTCATGCCAATTACGCTGCTGCAGCTACAGGGTAAGGTGGTAGAGCCTCCTAGTGCTCGCGTAGGCTAGAGTAGACCCATTCTCTTAGTGGTACAGTGAGAAAATGGGAATGAGGTTTCCTGGTGAAACCTATGGTGCTCTAATGCTCCTTCTTGTAGTGACAGGCACTGTATTCTCTCACAGGCTGTTGTTGTTAAGAAAAATGTGTCAAAAGGAAAACCTTAACTTTCATAGGCCTACACTGCAATGTTCTTGTGCAAATGTGTATTCTAGCCTTTCTTTAGGAAGAAGAGAGAATCGTCGACGTCACCTAGGTATGGGTGTTCTGTGCCTTGCGGTGGAGGAGTAAGATGGAGGCATTTTGCTGTCACACAGCCTGGGCTGCTCCACCTTGGGGCAAAGAGAGGGAAAGCCTCATCTCTGCCATTGCTCCTCAGGCGTCCAAGACAGCTATTTTGGCGGGAGGGGACTTAGAAGAATAGACTAATGCCTTTCTTGCAACCAAACGCTCACTGAAGGTAATTTAAAATAGTAATTTGTTATCATCTTAGGTCTATGGCTTCACATATTAAAGTGATGTGCTACACACAGCCTACATGCTTCCCTAGGCAAACAAACCAAATGAGGAGACTGCAAAGCCAGAAGTGTCATTGTGCAAACATGACTTTTCGTAACTCAGTGGTTTTGTTTCAAACAAGAAGGAAGTGGAATCAGAGCTGTCAGGAGTAACAGGTGGAGAAGTCACCCTCCAGAGCATCAGAAAGAGTATTACCCCTACTCAAAGAGATACAAGAAATCATTTTCACCAAAATCAGAAACAAATACCAGGGATTTGGAGCCCCTGTTCTGGTTATTAGGGGAGGACTACACATCACCCTGTCAAACCAGCTGCAGAACAACAGGGCCACATAGTCTCAGTTCACAGAGCAGACAACCAGGGAAGAGACTAGCTCCTGCCTTCTGCACCAGAATAGGTGCACAGTTAACAAATTACATGCTTTCGGGTCATCTTTTTCTTTGTAGTTTTTGGTGTTCTGTTCCTCCCTCTCCCCTTTAATTGCAGTACATTTTCAGTCTTAAATTTTTTTGTTATTGTTAAATCAGGAATTCAGCCAAAACTGTAATGAGTTTCTGATTCTATCCATTGAGTAAAAACCTGAGTGGAAGACAGGAATGGAGACTGTTGCACTGATTTCTCAAGATTGCTGCTTGAGCATGGCACCTCTGCATTTGAGAGAAATAGAAAAGGGACAGGAAAAATAAGGCCAGCACTAGAAGCAAAAGGTTTTTATTAGCTGCTGATATTTTAATGCTACCTACTTAAGCTGCAGCTAGAACCAAAAAAACCTATCTTTGTAAAAAGACTACCATAATCCAAAACAATCCCTAAAACTTTTCTGCATGTATTGAAACTTTAAATTCATAAAGAACTTTTCAAGGTTTCATTTTCTAACAGCATCTTCATAGAGACAGTATCCAAGTTCTCTTTGTAAGTACAGATACAAGGCAAACAAGCATCCTACAAAATAATCTATGGAAAAAGTAGTGTAGGAGGGAAGACAGTGTAATAATCCATTAGCCAGACACACAAGTTAAATGTAACACAACCATACCATCAATGAAATATTTAAAAATGAAAATAAATTAAGGTTACATCAAAGTTCCTGCTTTACTTTTATTGTTTAAATCCTCAATATAGTACATACCACTGCATTATGGATCATGGCAAAGACTTAGCACTAGCATCAAAAAAGTTGCTATAGAAAAACTTTTATGAAAATAAAACAAGACCGAAGATATTCCTTCACACAACTGTATGATGGCTATAGGAATTCTACTGTATCAGTTATTCAAACTAGGGCCATTTATTTTTAAAATCTTTGTGATTTTCTGCAAGATCTTGGTTGCAAATCTGAACAGCCATGAAAATGGAGATGAATGTCAATGAGCAGTGGTCCATACATTCTGGCTGAACAGATGCTGTCTGACCCCTCTCGTTGCTTAGCCAAGCTGACACATTTTGCTCTCCCTTGATAACGTGCACCCCAACAAGAATGCAACTTTGCAGAGCACAGGTTTTTTGGTAGCATTTTGACATTTTCTGAAAACCAAAATTTTGTTCTCATAAGGCCCCAGTCACTGCGTGAGCAATGTGAACCCAGGCTTAAAAGGCTTTGTCAATGTGTTGCTTTACCTCTTGTACATGCTTCAGACTCATTTGCAATTTGGAAGCCAACTGCCTGTATATATCATCATAGTCTATTGCGATTTTTCTAGAAAACATCAGTTAAGCATCCCAGCTCACTATTACTACACCCTCCCTATTAACTATAACTGGACAGGAAAGACCTACGTGTGCTTTATAGGACTTGCTCTACAGATTTAAAGTTGTCCACCAAACAGGAAAGCAAACACCCTCCACAGCCTTTGCAGTTTTGTAATATGTAATGGAGAAAACAAAGGGCTTAAATACCCTAAAATGTATTTAAAAGGCATTTTATCCAATTAGGAGTTTCTGATACTACAATGAACCATCCTGCTGGATTCCTCCCATTATGCAAACTATAAGAAGGTAAGTGAACATTTCTGTGAAAATGCTATTTCCCTAATACTAAGCTCCTTGTTGACTATGAATTTAGATCTGCATTTATTAGATTAATCTTTTAGAGGAGAAAAATATTTAAAACAAATACCCTAAGCAGTTTCTGGTTTAATTGTATCAAATATTCAGTGTTAAACCTAGAAAGAAGAAAATCTCCACAAAATGATGGTTAAAAGAACAGAGTTTTTGCTTGGTTACTGCATGGGCATTGCAGACAAGCTGCACCTCGAGCGTTCATTTCGTAAGGTTGCAACAGTGTCTACTGTCCATTGTTTTCTGGGTTTGTTGTGGTGGTTTCAGTGCCAACAGGTTGCACATTGTCTGCAAGATTGTGTGCGTGCTCGAGGAACAAGTCTTTCAGTACACTCAGCTCCTTGGTCAGGAGCTTAATTTTTGCCTCTAAACGTTCATTTTCTTCTTTGAGCTGGTTGACCCTTTGCAGCGTGTCTTGTGCTTTCTGCTTGCTTTTTAACCGGCTCTTTTTCACTGCCATGTTGTTTCGCTCTCTGCGCTGACGATACTCATCGCTGTTTCTATCCACAAAGGAATTTTTCTTTCCCTGTTTGCTCGGAGGCACAGCTTTGCCTCCACCACCAGGACTAACAGGCACCAGCTGGGGAACCTGCTGCAAACCACTGGTGTGTGCTTGGGTGTGAATCACGCTTACTCCGTTCGCATCTGTAGCGGTGTTCTGTTGAGATGTCTTGCTCATTTGGACAGGCTCTTCTTGGACACGACGGAATTTATCAGGAGACTGAAAAGCGTTATGTTTCTAGAAGGTGTTTCCAACAGGTCTTCACATGGATTAAGGGCAAGGTGAACCTAGCAGAAAAAAGAATGCCATTAAAGGTGCTGGCTTCAGCTACAATCTTATACATCACTGGCTTCAGCATAAGGTACCGATGGTACATCTGGCAATAACACATCACAACTGTGCTGGAAGTGGACAAGCTGCCAACTACATTTCAAAAGCCTCTTGAACGTATTTGGATTGGAAGGGACTGTTACTGGGTCATCTAGTCAAGCTGTCTGCATTGTTCACTGGCTTTACTCAGTTATTCCAAAGCCATCCCTGATGGATGGGTGTCTAGCCTAGCCTTGAATATCTCCAGTTTCACAACCTCTGTCTTGGCAACAGGTTCCACTGTCTAACTTTTCCTCCAGTTATATAATTTTCTTAATTTTCAGACTGCAGTTTTCCTTCTACAGCTTAAACCCATTAACAGCCTGACTCTTGACCAACAGGAGTACTTGATCCTTTTCCTCTTTAGACCATCCCTCTGGGTGTCTGCATAGACAAATTCCTCCCTGGTCTCTTCTCTGGAGTGATAGTGCTCAGACTGGCCACCTTTCCTCATCTTAGAGCACTTGCTTTTGAAGATGGTGTCCAAATGGATGACTGTTTTAAGGTCTCACTAGTACTGAGTGTGTGTGTGGGGGGAAATCTGTGGAAAATGTAGTGTGCTGCAAAGGCTGTGACTGAGTGACATTAAAGGAACCCCTTCAACCACAATCAAGGTTAGACAAGCTAAGCCTGTAACAAGCAGGTGGGACAGGAACACAGGGTGATGGCAATGTGAGAGTCCCTACATGGCAAAGACAGACGACTGCTGCCACCCATAAGACAGCAGCCACAGCTGACTCATCCACAAAGTATGTTCCCCTGCTGTAGCTCCTGCACTGGTCATTGTCCATTCTCCTCTCCAGAAGACAAACAGGCCTGACGAGCAGGACACCCTCTCACCTGACTCATGTTCCTCCGCTGCTAAGGTCAGCCTGCTCCTGACCCTACTGGTGGCACTAGGAGGACTCCACCACAGCTGCTGCAGGGACACGGCCCTGGCAAGGCTAACAGCTGCTCCCCTTCTCTTCCCATCTCACAGGATGACCTCCTAAATGTCTGGGAGAGAAGAGGGGAAGGGCAACAGGGTTGTTCTAAGTTCCTGAAACGCCTACCTATGGCTCCAATGAAAAGTACTCGTGATCAGTCAAACGAGTGTCAATTTCTTGTCATATTAAAGAAAAGTATCCAACTGGCATAAAACAATCCTACTCCAAGATCAGACTGCGTTGAAACAGTGCAGCCCTATGCCGTGTCACGCACATACATACAGTATCACACGACTAGTGTTCACCATCCTCCTTGCCGATCCTCAGGAGGACCCGCCGGGAAAGCAAGCAGTTGGCGTTACCAGTGGGCAATGCTAACCGCCGAGCATCGGCAGCGTCCAACCCAGGGGTTATGGCTTGCATCAGTAACAGCACAGGCGATGGGACACCTGAACTCCTGTGTCTAGCTGAGGAATGGATGTGGCGAGATGTTTGTAAACAAGTTGCTGTGTGTCACTGGTCATTCTAAACTCACATGTTCATGAGCTGTTTACTGCTCTTATTTGTTTTTCTCAGCAGGCAGAGTTGCTGTTTCACCTTCTGCTAGGGTATCATTAAAAAGGTTAAAATTCTACTCTTTAGATCAATTGCAAATTTTCTTCCATACTGAGGGAGCCAGAACAAGATGCAGCTGCAGAGTATGGTTCGGTAAAAATCACAGGAAAGCCTAGTAAGTTCAGCTTGAATGTTACTCAACTTTCTCTGTCACTGAGAAGTCTTCTTGCTTAAAACAAGTGAAAAAGATGTGTGAGTACAACCACACCCCTCCTATCAAGAAATCTTTTCATATTTGTATTTTAGGGCAGAGAGAGACCATCAACTCTTTCTGGTATCTGTATAGCCAAATACATGCATAAATACATACCTAACCTTTGTATTTAGTATTTTCCTGATTTTAACTCGTAAAGCAACTTTTTTGCAAACAGCATTTAACTCTTAGATTCTGACTGAATAAGCAATTTGGTTCAGCAGTTAAACTGAATATACAGCTAACAAGATGTCACTGTGTACATGTGATTGCACGGATATTTTTAGTCAAGATGCAAGTGTATGCTCCTCTTGGAGCGTATACTGGCTTTGTCTCAGCTTTATTTTTAAGTACAAGACTTCTGTAGCCTTCAAAGAATATAGAGCTCTGCTAGATTGCCTCTGACAACTGCAATTTTTCCACTAATTTTTGGCATCTTTTCAGACAGAATGCTCTCCTGTCCCCTCTATTTCAACACATTACAGTGCTTGCTAACTTCATCTGGACAGCCCAGCTAAGTAACCCACACCATTTTCACAGTCTGCTGTTTCTGCTTCCTGAGGTACTACAGAGGAAGGGGTGGCTCCTGCCCCCGAAGGCACCCCATGCGATGTGTCACAAGTCATATCACCAGGTTCCATGGGCTATTCTTCTCTATGCTATCGAAACTATTTAATATTGCTTTAACATTCCCTTCAGATCTCTGTCAAATTCCTCTGTAATCCAAAGGAAAAATTTGTTCCATTAAATGGAATTTTAATGGAATATTTTAATTGGGCTGTACACAGATATGAGCAGAGAAGATGAACCAGTGTCACACCTCTCAAGCAAGTGTTCTAGCCCTTACAGAACAGATCTCCCTCAGTTCCTTCGCACTGGAACTTACACATTTTGTATCAAATAACTTTCTTGAGTGAGACACACTCTTACCTGGCCTGACAATCAGAACTCTTACCTGGCCGAGATGACACCCGGATTCCTGTCCTGCTCCAACTCATGTTTGTGCAAAACAAGTAGCACTAACTGTACTGCATCACAGATAAGCCAGGAGTGGAAACAGTTAAGGCTTGAAACTGATTTTTTCCCCCTGGTTATTTGGAGGCTGGGTCCATACTAGCAATTGTCAGTTCTTCAACAGAACAATGAGAAGGAAGGATACCCTCGATAGGTGCTGTGGGATAGGTGCTGTGGGGCACTGCATGGAGATTTAAAGGCAGCAGGTATGAGACACAGGGAAGGGGCTCTCAAGAAGGGTGAGGTAAAGGACATAGTAATTGGGAGAGGCCACAAGGGTGGGGAAGCAGATGGGTCTCAGAGTTCATTTCTCAGACACCGTGCCACACAAATGCAGCTGCTCCGCTCCTCTCCGCAAACAGGCTTCCTGTGAACGGGTGACAGCCCCGGCAGAGCAAGAGGCAGCTCCTCGGAAAGCCAGCCGAGTTTCCGAGCATCTTGTTCCCATAAAGCTGCTCATTAGCTTGAGCTCAGCGACAGCCCTAGGCTGGTTCCACCCAGCACATGGTAGTGTTTCCAGTGGCCAGTTAGAACTGCCTTGTTCTCTCCTTGGGCCACCAACTGGCCACCCAGGACACCAACTGGCCACCCACTAGAGCATGATAGCTGGTAACTCTTGAGGTGTCTTCTCAAGCAGAGAGATGTTTCTTACTGTCTGACAGAGCTCCTCTAGGATCACACTGACTCCCAAGCAAATTAAGGCCTTTATTATCTTAGCTTTCATAAAAAAAAATAAAATTTAAAAAAAAAATTAAAAATTAGACTTAATCTTTGGCAAAATTAGACTTAATGTTTTGGCAAAACCCAAAAGATGTGTTTTAATCTGTTAATTAAATCAGTTTGCTGGTTTTTTTACTTAGCAAAAAATACAAAGTGCTTCTCTCTGCTCCTTTTCTGAGCTGTGACTGTGTTGATCTTGCTCATTGGTGAGTGTAACTTTACTGCGCAAATTCACTCAGCTGTCTTGTCCAATGCAAAATCAGTCCCACTCTGAACAGCAATAGTTGTCCTCCCTTCTCTCTGACCCAGGCATACATTTGCTGAACACTGGGAGGCCCCACTCCTGTGTGGTTTTCTGCACACCCAGGCAAATTAGTAAGAGTTGGTGGCAACTCCCTCACGTTGCAGGCTTGGCAACAACTTTTTTGAGACCAGGGAGCTCAAATCTATCATCTGTTGCCATAGCTGACATCACTTTCCCATGTTTTTCTCAGACTCTCCGTACCTGAAAAATACACCCCAACATCCTTAAAAAAAATGTCCTTGGAACATCTAAAGTATGTATTCTAATTGCAGGCTAGCAGCACTGATGACAGAATCACAAACAATCCCAGATGCCAGGAGGAAAGGAGGTATCAATTTGACTCTGTCTTTTTAATTATAGTGAAGGCAGCTATTTCTAAAGATGAACTAATTCCTCAAATCTTAAAGTTTTTCAAATTAGGAATTTTTATACTTTCTGAAGAGGCATTATAACCAGCATGGCACTGTTACTAAGGGGAATATTGAATCGTCTTAATGACTGCTATTTCCCACCAGATGTCAGACCTAAAACCAACATTAAGCTTCCCGTGATAGATCTGTTTTGAAAGTTGCATCTGGAGTTATAAACATTTGTTGGGAAGCAGAAAGACTCGTCAAGACATTCAGAACTCCAGGGAGAAGCCAGAGAAGAATAACATCAGCTGTTAAAGCACGGCGCTTTATCGCGGCTCCTGGGACCCCCGCGGCCCTGCGCGCTGCCGGGAGCGGGGCAAACGGCACCGGCGGGGTTACCAGCCCCGCTCGCAGACCCTTCCATAGGCCAGGCACGTCGTG